AGCCAAAAGACAGCAACCAAAACCGGCGCTCGAATATGCGTGGTTAATGGTTGTTCAAACAGAAACTGAAACTGAAACCGGTTCTCAGATCTCACGGACACGTTGAGATTCTGGACATGGGTCGCAGTTTCGAGTTTGCGGATATCCTCGTACTTGGGGACATAGTGGACAACCTTCAGCCTGTATTCAGTCGCACCAATCAGCTTACCCAGGCCAAAGGGGCCTGAGATCACCACGTCGAAAACCAAGACATTTCCGACCGAAACTTCTGCCACGACACAACCCTTCTGGATTAACGGGGAGCTTGTTAAACCTCAGTTCCCAAGATTCTTGGCTCTACAATCAGACGGCCAGGCTAAGGATGAAATCAAACTGCTTGTAGATGGCGCTAGAAGAACCTTCCAGCAACTCAGACCGTTGTGGAACTGAGGCGAAACAAACCTGCACACTAAGCTTCGGGTAATCAGGCTTCCATCGACCTCATCTTAACCTTTGGTCTTAAAACATGGTCAGTAAGAGTACAAGATACAGGAAAGCTCGAGGTCTTTGATCAATGGGTCTTATGACGCATCTCGAAGATGAATCGGAGAGACCGGGTTTCCAATGATGAGGTTCGAAGACACTGCTCGCAATTTCAACAAGCTTCCCAAAAGGCTACAACGCCGGCGTCATCAGTGGTTCAGCCACATGTTCTGAAGGACCGACACTCAGCTGTCGCGATAGCGTGTCCCCATGCGCCCTGCTATGGATGGCGCTGCCGACTCGGTGGCCGACTGAAGACGTGGATCAGTGGGATAAAGGCGGTCAAGACCACTGGGCCTCCAATCCGTACACAGAATACGTAACCGGAACCAGAACTGTCTCACATCGCGCCAACCTTGCCGCTGATCCTCACGTGTGGACTGTCGTCATTCGAGACATCCAAGAAGCCAACTTATACTCCCGTAAGAGTTCGTCGCTCAAAAGTAAAAAGTTTATTGTAAAAGGGAGAGCAGAGTAACATTCGCATAAGATCCGGCTTGCTCATTCTGCGCTTGTGGTGAAGTGCCAGTTGAGGGAAAGACCGAAAGTGAACGGGTGTTCCACAACTTGGCAGTCCGGAGGAAAGAAGATTGAAGTGGAGAAGTACGACATCCAGTGATCGAACTGTGATGATGATGATTAGATGCCTGCACAAACAACCGGATATTAAGAGTGCCAAAGGTGTCGCAAGTATATAAAGGCCAAAGATACTTTTAGTATGCGTGCCGCCACGTGATATGGGATTCGGTTATCAGAAGAAATATAGCTGTTCCAGAGCAGGTTTACATTTTCTATGTCCCCAGTTAGTGAGGTTGAGCGGTGGACCATCCTAGTTCTGCAATAGAATTTCGGTTCGACAGAATTATACAGAAAAGAAATATGGTTAGGAATTTAAACTATTTCATTCGATGTATTCCCTATAGAAAAAGAATAATTTATAGGAATGTGCCCCCCCCCCTTCCACTCTCACACAGTGCGGACACGAATCATCCCGGATGCTGAAATGGCACTCGGAATTACGGATTGGTTGTTTTTATCAAATGATACTAGTAACAAGTGCTGAAAACTGATGGTGGGGTATGATCTTCAACTCCATCAAAACTCAGTCAGCAGTCACTTGAAAAAACTAAAAATACTCGGATGAGTTTGTCAGCTTCAGCTTCTGCATCAAAGGACCTTGGTTAACTTGATCCAACCACAGACTTTATTCGGACGTGTGGGTAAAACTCGGTGCGCGACATAATCAAAGACAAAACTTTCATACTTACCTGTCTTTCGGATGGCTTTCTTTGGCCACTATCAGGATATCTGCGATGTTGATCTGACTTAGACACGTAGTTTTCTGGCACTGCGGGCCCTTCTGGAACGCGTTCCCGCCGTTTGACCTCTGAGCTTGCTTGTCCTGTATCCATATTTTCTCTTCTCCGCTTCACAGGAGATAAACTGTTGTTCACTTCATCTTCATCGCCTGGCTCACTGGAGCTGTCACTACTGTCCCCGCTGCCAGTGCTGCTGCTACCACTGCTTGAACCGGAACCATCTTCCTCTTCATCGGATTCTGAACCAGAGGCATCTGAAGAAGAAGTGGAACTGGTAGCATGGGATACCCTGCGTTTCATCGAAGCACCAGCAATAGCTGTATGAGGGAGTGCCGGACCCTCGGGTTCTGCGGTTTGATGCACTGAGCCTGGGGGGAGAGGTGGACCTTCTGGGATCTGGGCAACCTCTTCTGATTTACTACTACTGCTACCACTACTGCTGGAACTGTCATCATCATCATCTGATGAGCTACATTCGCTTCCCGAACCGCTGCTACTCGACGATGTAGACGGCACTTTCTGGACCTCTGCAACAAAATACGAGAGAAAAGATAATCATATATGGTCGTTTCGGCGATTCATCCATTGACAGACTACATACAGTTGGGGAAAAATCACAACAAAGCTTCATTTAGCGTTCGTCTCAAGGTCACCAAATATGAACTACATGGTTCTGTACTTCCTTTTTGTATACACATTCACTTATACTTGTGAGTCTTGGTCGCAAGAGCAGATGTTCACCTCCCGGTTCGGCTGGATAGTAGACGGATCAAATCCATCATCCTTGATGGAATCAAACAAGTTTGGTTTTGCTAGGACATGTTTGGACTCCTTACAGCTGTAAAAATCACAAGTAGCATCTTGACTATGGCAGAGGCCATCGGAATCCGTTTGCATATATCACTCTTCAGTGCTCCCCGAAACAGTGAGCAAGAACATTCGGTGTCCAATGAAAATCATCCCCGAAAGTCTGAATAGAGTCAGGGATGGGTGCCTTGGGTTTTGGTTGGTTACCCTACGACCTCGCAACATGCTCCTATACAACCAAGCTACTCAAATAGCTTCTGCTGAGAAAGCCCTACCAAGCACCTTCCAGTGGTGGTTTCCAGAAANAGAAGTGAGGACGAAAACCCGCGTTCGGGGCTATAACCGGGTCCGTAAACCGCTTGCAGTACTCAGTTCATCGCTCTAAACTTTGGCTCTGCCTTTCCTTGAAGGATATGGACGAGAAGTTGATTACAATTGTGCGATCTCTTTCTACTAATTGTCAAAGCCGAGTCCGAGCTTTAGTCACTCTTTAGCCCAGGTTCATTACAGAAAGTGGCTACCCAAAGTCTGATCCGCAAGACGGTTGGGCGGTGTGAAAACCGCAACCCATTGGAGGTTGGATCAAAGGCCCTTCAGCAGTGAGAAGGGCTTCCTCAGCAGAGGTTATTTGAGACGCATGGTGTTATACATATGTATGTACATGCTGGATATTTTTACTGCGAACCGGAGCGGCTACAGTGAACAAAGTGCGGTGCGGCAGACGACAGCTGGGCCTACGCAATGCGTGGCCTGGTCCGCGAAGCATACTAATCTGAATTCCATGGGCTAGTAGGCTTATCCCTGATAAACGTCCAAACACAACGGCATACATCTACATCACTAACCCATTCGCTTCATCCCACGCGGGCTAAACTAAGTAAACATCGACAATCGAAAACTTCTAGTTGGTAAATATCTTCTACTTGCAAATTCAAGGTCTCGCAACAAAAAAGCAGAACTGAACGAACGGCAGACTAATATACACGACCTTTCCACTTCAGTGAAAGGTCGAGTCTACACTACAGGTTTCAATTCTGCCTACGCTGCTCGAGTCTTGGAAATGCGGGCGCTTATCTCCTTCTCTGGTCACAACTACCGAAGTAGGAAAAGCAATCCATTATAACTAATTCCCGGCCGTTTAGTTTCAAAGCGGGACTGGGCGATACTCAGTCTTGCAGTATCACTTTGAACTTTGAAGGTGCAAAGCACACACCGAGTGTGGTAACAGAACTCAACTGTCTGCCAAGTGTGTTTTGTGCATCCACCAATCATTCGAACAGAGAGACGATGCCACCGGCGTACTCCAAATCGCATAGCTTTTCTCTAGCTGTCCATTCAACATCTACGTTTTGGAGACCACTGAGTGCGTTCTCCAGTATTTCGTCCACGATGACATTGAACAGGAATGAGGAAATAGGCCACCTTTGGTAAACGTTACTGTTGGGGACGAACGGCCCACCTGGTTCGTTATAAAGTGAACTATGGTCAACACAGAGAACAACTTAATCTCATGGGAACGAAATTAAATCGATCGATGAGCCCTGCCGCACCAACGTAGATCTGCAAACGGATGAAAGATAATGGCGGTGTATCTCTCTTGTGAACGGGGATGAAGGATCTATCAAACGACTACCTGTGTCGCCCTAGGTGAATGGATTAAGATGATTCAAGCCGCCAAGCCGACGACTCACAACAAGAATAAATGCTTAGTGCTAGAAAACACATCACCAGTTGTGATTCCCAGAGCAGACTAACTTAAACCGCTCAACGGCATTAGTAACAACTACCACCTGAGTTCAGTGAGCCTCTTTTTCATACAACCGCCCTGAATTTGATTAAATATGGGCTTAGTAGGTTCTTGTAAAATGGAAGTGTCAGTGTCAGACTTGAAAGGAATGATTACAAAACCTATCGTTTTTTCACCATTCAAATTCGCCAAGGAACCTGCTGATAATAGTACTCACGTCGCTGTGGTTCTTGTCTGCTTGGTTCTTTGGGTGGTTGTGGCAGGCTTGGTCCCTCGGGAGTTAGTGACTCGACGGTGTCACTTGGTTGTCGTTGGCGACGATTGGACACCGCCAAATGTTTATGTCTGCTTTGTTTACTTGAGGTTTCTGAAGCTCCATGTGTTCTAAATTCATCTTCCTCCTGGGCCCATTGTGCTCGTCTGTCATGGAATCGGTTGGCTCGATCAGCAGGATTCGCACAGACGGGATCAGCAATCCTGGATGAGACAGGAGTAGGAGTACGTGAAGCACGCCGCCGGTGTTTTTCCCGATATCTATGCGTCGTATCTTCTACAGATTCAACGTACTCTCTGTGCTTTCCACTGCGCCGATCATACTGTCGGTAGTCTCTAGGAGAATCACCACGGGGGCGTCTAAGTGGGGAGTCTTCACGTCGTCTCGAACTTCGTGAATGAGAATGACGCGTGCGGTGATCATCCTCTGACTCACTGCTCCTGTGACGATGGCGGGAACGCTTATGTTCTCGTCTCCGCTTTTCGAACCCATAGTAACTGTTTTCAGGCATTGTAGGCGGGCTGCGGCGACGTCCAGCCATCAAGTCTTTACGCCAATCTGAATCAGGATTTGTTCTGCAAGAAACCATGAAAAAGTTCGTGAAGAGGCTGAGATGGACGAGGATATGCATAGAACAAAGAGGAAAATCAACCGCCGGCAAATAAGAAATCCCGAGTTAGTTATCAAGCTAGTGGTTATCACTACCTAGAATAAACGGCGCCGAACCTAAATGTAGGTTAATCTCAAAATGATCAATCATTCACATTGGATGAAACTTACGGTTTTTTAACATCCGCTTCGATTGACCTAGATCGATTTCGATGCCGCGATCGACGGTGCGTATCTACATCATCATCTGTGCCCGAGTAAGATTTGCTGGAAGCACTCCGAGAGCGATGACGATGCTTCTCTTTGTGGTGCCGTTTACGGTCGTCATTCTGAAAGAAAGCCAGAAACTCAGATAAAAGAGCATTTT